CTTCTCTTCACATCACGATCTGAAACACAAAATCAGCACTGCCACCACTCTCATCAACAGATCCCTTAACCTTCCCACCACCGAAGACAGCAAATATAAAGAGTTAAAACATATAAGCGAAACCCTCGCTTCAAATGGATACCCGAAACCACTCATCTCTAAGGTGATCAAATCCCAAACTGACAAAGCTACGCCAAGTCTGGAAGAATTAGTAAGAACATTCTTTGAACAGGTTGATCCCTCGGAAACTTACAATGGACATGCTACTTTACCATACATCAAAGGAGTAACAGAACCTCTTTCAAGAACACTAAGAAAACATAACATAAAAGTCCATAATAAACCTTTGAGAACCCTACAACGAGAATTCCCCTCAGTAAAGCACAGACCTCCAACCGAAGAACAAACTAACGTCATCTACAAAATACCATGTAAAGATTGCCCTTGGAATTATATAGGTGAAACAGGCAGATCCCTAAAGACAAGAAAATCTGAACACGTCAGAAACGTAAAACAAAATAAAGATGGATCAAACATTGCTAAGCATGCATGGGACTGTGATCATGTAATTGATTTTGATAACTCGAAAGTCATAGACAAAGGGAAATTTCGGAACCGTCTAACTTTAGAATCATGGCATACAGCCAAAGACAAAAAATGCTGATAACAATTCTAAGCCACTTCCTCGACAATACACAGCCTTAAAGGGAAATGGCAATATATTTTTTTATTTTCTCGTTTGAAAGAACATTTAAAACCATATATAAAACTCTTTTACCGTTTTTTCATATCTTGCTTACTTCTACAAATATTTTAATCGAAAGAAATGAAATGTCCGCCATCTTGGATTTTTGTGGATATGCATGTTACGTCACAACAGGGGTCACGCAATATTTTTATCTAGACAACCACTAATCATTTTGCACCCAAAATTATACTCTGTATGCTCCTGGAAATATCAAGATCACTTGAAACGTTTAAAACATCTACCAATCAATATTTGGTCAGTAACGAATACTTTTATATGGTTAATCCCTGTTGTGACGTCACCAAAACTACCGTTAATGAGATCAAAATTTTATCCAAGATGGCTGACATCTCATTACTTCAAGTGAAAATATTTCAAGAACTAAGCAAGATATGAAGAATCGGTAAGAGAAGTTATTAAATAGTTTCAAAAGTTCTTTCATATGAGAAAATAAAAAAATATATTGCCATTTCCCTTTAATAAGAAAATTGTATTAAATATCACCTATCATATTTCAGATTGCACATACACATACGTCACGTTTAGTTTCAATTTACATGTATATTATATAGTTTTAGCGTCCTTGTATCATATTGTATATACACCCGTTGAAGGCTACAGACTGGTAGCCGAAAGCTTGTGATTAATAAATATATTAACCAGAGAACGTCTCATCTTTTCATTATGTCTAATCCTGGTTACACATCTAAGATTTTTAATATTATTAGTATTCACTGTTCATCAACAAAAACTGAATTGATTGTGAAATAAATAATGGCAATGAATAATGAAATAGTTCCCGCCAATCTCGGCTTCCTAAACTCGTGTTAATAGTGCTTGATCTATTGTTCAGTAGGTGAAATTTTGCAAGTGTTCCACGAGAGTGGTCCACGGGAGTGGTCCGTAGTCCACGAGTGTAGTCCATGGACCAGGTCCACGAAGGTACAGGTAGTCCATGGACCTGGGGTCCGCGTTTTGTTGTTTCCCTGATTCCGGTTCCCGACCGACCCTATTTTTTTCTGCCGACCCCAATTTTTTCACGATATGAAACCGGAACCACAGGTATTTTTTTAGGGCGGCCATTACAAAAGTGATGGGCCGGCCGGAGGGAAATTTTCAGCTTGTACAAATTTTTTCTGGCATCTGCTTGAAATTGTGCGCCTGGAAATTTTTTGTGGAATTTTAAGGTATTTTTCTTTGTTCTGACTCCCTCTAATTGCACATATAAAAATATTCTTCTAGTTCTTGTTTGGAGAATACATACATACATTTAAGCAAGAAATTAAAATTCAGTATCCGTTGTAAAAAACTGTCGCCAAAAACATGGCGAATATATGACGCCATTGCCATGACTACTAGCTGCATGGTCCAGTAGATTCATGGCAACTACCACTGTCTCAACCGCGATCCTATAAGCTTTTGATGATGTACATCACCCCCCTGGTTTGAGCCCAAAAATTTTGTTTTTGAGGTAAAAATCTCACTGAAAATCTTGATATTTTTCTTCCAATTTGCTCGATTCATGCCGAGCAAGGTCCTCCAGTAATATAGCATAGCTCAGTGGATTGGACGCATCGAGCGGTGGCTGGAAGTTTCCCGAACTCATCGAGCGAAGCGAGGTGGATTCAGGAAACTTCCAGCCACCCAAGGTCGTGGAAACCTCCATCCACCCGACTACCAGAGGACATGCCATTTTGGTAAAAAGTACTGAAGAATTTTAGTATATAATTTTGTGTTTGGATAACGAACATTTTAGCCGCCAACATACTACGCAAACAAACAAACTTGGGCTTTGACGTCATAAATTAGCGGACATATTCACACTTATTTACATAATTATCAAACAAATTGAAATATCTCGGGAACAAGAAATATCTCGGGAACAAGAACATAAAAACAAGAAACTGAAAAATAAGTTACACTACACTGCTTAAAGAGTTCTTTCATTTAAGAAAATAAGAAATTTTATGTCATGTGCACTTTAAATTAACTACGGTACTCAACTTAGCTGAAAATTAGCCGTCCCCAAAATATAACCCGTTCCACTAGCTGTCACTGCTTGACTATACGGGAATGTTAAATGTTATTACTCTGGTCCAAAGCCTATATATAATACTACACAACTAAGCCGAATCTTTATTCTTCAAATAATTCTGTTGCTTGTGGTTCTTCTAATGCAGCGGAAAAGTAAAAAATCCTGCACTTTGTGAAGAAAGCACCCAATTCACAGGAAGTGTAGACTTTAACATGATAATGAATCTTAGATATGGAGGTATCACCAAAATTGATGCTGACGGCTTAAAATTTAGGATTTCTTATATTCTCTTATAATTAAACTTTATTACTGTTTAAAATTGTGAAATTGCAGGTTCACATATAGCAAAAATGACTCGCATGATTAGAAAGCTTACAAAAAACTACATATAAGACTTTTAAACGGCTGATTGATTTTCCAAGCGGTTTTCCAGTTATTGCTATTTAAAAACGTGATAAATAGGCAAAAATCCCGCCAAAGTCCTGGACGCTAGCCCTATTAAAAACATATTTTCAACCGCTCATAACTCCATAATCAAAGTAACTGCTTAAATGTCTTATATGCAGTTTTTTGTAAGCTTTCTAATGACGCATGTCATTTTTGCTATATGTGAACCTGCAATTTCACAATTTTTAATTGTATAAGAGATTCATAAGAGAATATAAGAAATCCTAAATTTTAAGCCGTCAGCATCAATTTTGGTGATGCCTCCATATCTAAGATTCATTATCATGTTAAAGTATACACTTCCTGTGAATTTGGTGATTTCTTCACAAAGTGCATGATTTTCTCAAATATCTGTGGATATCCGCTGGACTGATTCATGGGTGTAACCAGATGATATTATTATCTCTGAGATAATCTCTCTCCCATTGAAAGAATCTCTGGTCTCGGTCGCAGGGACTTCTTGCTCTCGCTTGATGAGTGAAGAGATAAAAAAATGCGTTGGGACAATCATTTCTTAGGGTTCTTCTTGCAGCGCCAATAATTTCAAGGCAACGATCAGCGCGATTCGGTACCAGGTGGCCTGGGCCATAGCGAGGACGCATGCAAGGCAGATTAGTGGAATAAATTATCATGAACCTTGGACAATCCCCCATTCCCTGCCTCATTGTTGCCAGTCCATCGCCATGTAGTAGTTGATATTCCGAATGCCCTAAGTTGGTCAGCTGGTCTTGGTTGTAGTCAACTTTAGCCATTCTGAAGTTGGTGTTGTCCGGTTGTCTTGGCCACAAAGTATTTCTGTTATTCAATGGAAAACTCCTCCTCCTAGTTAGAGCTTCTCTAACTTCCTCACTAATAAAATGCCGGCCGGCTTGGTTGGCGGGCTGTAGATAAATATAACCAAACTGTTGGGTTCCTCCTAAAACTGATAGAGATAACGTTGGATCAATTTTAACATGGAGTTTACGATCTACGACGCGACCGGCTCGGCGACGCGCGTTCAAAACAAAAAATTTGGTGTTTCCACAAACAATAGTATTATATGTTTTTTTTGCCATATGCAAACCTACAAAGAACTTACAAAGAAATTTGTCATGCAAGACAAAAACTGTCAATAATTCGTGTTCCCAGGAATATTGTCAACCGCGTTGTCATTCTCAGCACAACGTTAAACAAGCATTATTACGTCTTTCAGGCAACGCGAAAGCTTAATGCGACCCAAGAGGTGTTACTTAAAGTCGAAATTACAGCAAACATTGCATCGCTTCAGCCGAACGTAGCAGTTTGTAAGGTTATTTGAAAAAGCGTGAAATATTTATTACAGTAATCAAATTGCTTACCGCTCATTCTTGAGCTGAAATTTAGATCGCGTCGTAGATCGTAAACTCCCTAACAATTAGAGAACGAAGCCGAGTCGTCTATGAGAAAATTCAACGAAACAACAACACCGAGTTTTTATAGTCATTTTGACTGTGCGGGGGAAGAATTTTCTACAACGTCTCTGCGAAATCTTTGCAAAACAAAAGTTTTCTGCTATTTTTCATCTCAACCGTGGTCCGTTACGTATATAATGGTCCCTGGTTGAGTAGCCAATTTTAAAGCCAACTCGCACCTTACTGAACCTTTATAGAAAACATTTTGGAAGTGATTGAGATAGTCAGTCTAAATTTTGTTATTAGTTTTACAAGACTTACTATATTTTATTACTATAATCTTTTGTTATAGCGTATAAAGTTTACAAAATCTGTATTCCTACATGAAATAAACACTCACGATTTGGCGGATTCCGATTTGGGTTTTGGGCCGCTCGACGAACGTCCCGTTCAAGTGTTTCTGAAATTTGCTGCGCCAGTACATTCATCTCATGCGGCGGTATCGCTCTCTTTTCAGAATTATTATCGTCTTGCAGGCTTCGACTTTCGCCGAAAGTTGCTGAGTACAAAAGCAACACAACACATAGTGCTTTTACGAATGCCATTATACCTCGCTTTTAATAGTTTTCAAATTGTTTCAAATGAAGAAGTGGAAAAGTTGTTCTTCACTCAAGAAGAATAAGCATCGAATAATTTCTCTTTCTTGATTTAAGTCTTGTATATATGTTTGTGATTGATTGACATTTTGCTGGTTTCGGTTCAGACTGGTTGACAATTGTTGGTAGCAGTTGTAGTGTTTGACAGCATTAAACGTGGTGCTCCCTCCCTTATATATAGATAGAGAATAATTATAATATCTTGTTGGGTTCTGTGCAGATAGTCATGACCTTTGCTGAACACTTCACTACCTGAGAATAGAACTTCGCCATTTCAAGAGGAAGGCTCATAGTTTGGAATTTTATTTTAAAAATTCTTTAACACTTGCTTGTTCAGGCAGGTTGACTATTTATCACTTGAAAAAAAAAGTGAAATCCATATACTACGAAATTTGCAATTGCTCCACTGAATCCATAGTATATCCATCCTATTTCCATACTATATCCAGCATACTATGGAAATATACAATTATTATGGATAACCAAAATCCATTCTATTTCCAATAAAGGTCCATACAATTTCCATTCTATGACCTTCTATGGATTTTCAAAAATTTTCCAGTGTATGTTGCCAGTCCACGCAGCACTAGTTTTTGACAGCCGTAAACACCGTGCTCGATAAAGCGGATCAATTTCTGCATGCATTATAGATAGCGAAATTATAAAAATATCTTTAATATTGGGCTCCATTGTAGGTTGTGATAAACTTTAGTTACGAAATTAGCTGAAGGCGTTCACTATACCTGATAAAAGAACTTTCATACAATATTTCAAGGAAACGCCTTTCGTCAATTTAATTTAATGTAATCAAGTTTTACGACATACAAGAAATAATATAGATAACAATATGCAGAAGGAAGAATAGAAAGGTACTGGAAGAACCACACTGAGCTATTCCACAAAAACCAAATTGATCAAAAAAGGGATTTTTATTAAAATAAAATTAACTCTGTAACTTCTATATTTAAGATGGCTTTCACACTTTGCTGGTTCATACAGGTGGACCATTAATGGTACCAGTCTAGTGCTAGTTTGTGACAGCCTTTAAACACCGTGGTTGCTAAAGCCTGACAATTTCCACATTATAATTATAAATAGAGAAATTATAAGAACTATCTTGAATGTTGGCTTTTGGCCCGTTGTCGGGCGTAAATAAACTTCTTAAGATTGTTTGATAGTTACTGGTTGTCTCTGATTGCTGTATCCGCTTAGCCGTTTTGTGAAACGTATATCGCGTCTTAATCACCATTGGGCTATATATTACATTTAAAAACCAAACTCCCCTGTCGAGGAACTCTCAGTGCTTTTCGGGACTATATATATATATATATATATATATATATATATATATATATATATATATATATATATATATATATATATATATATATATATATATATATATATACATATACATATACATATATATATATATATACATTTATCACATACTTGTACCTTTATCAGGTAGGAAGCAGCGGGACATAAAAACGATATCGTCCCGGATATCGTTTTTTGTCCCGGATATCGTTTTTTGTCCCGGATATCGTTTTTTGTCCCGCTAAATTTCGCGCCTTGTCAAAACAAAGATGGCCGACTCGAGGTTCGTGTTGGTTGATGTCGACAATTTATCGAAGAAAACAAGAACGATAATACAAAATGAAAGACTTAAATTGTATATTATTTATATGAATGGTCTATTTATTTTCTAAAATCATATTTGTTCAGTAAATGATGAATTGTTTTGAATTCTAAAATGATCCTATTTTTTCAAAACTGTTTACTTTTGGGTGTCAAACCCTGATAAAGGTACAAGTATATAATAAATAGGTTATCGTACTCGGGATTCCGTGATATCAGTTTTATCGCTCTCGGGACGATATCACAATTGTCCCTCGCTCGCTCGTGACAATTGTGATATCATCCCTCGAGCGATGAAACTGATATCACCTCATCCCTTATATGATAACCTATATTTATTTATATATATATATATATATATTTATTTATTTATATATATATATATATATATATATATATATATATATATATATATATATATATATATATATATATATATATATATATATATATATATATATATATATCACTTCCCTTGTGGTCGTTTAAGCACTCTGGCCCCATTACACTCAGCGCATGTCTGGATGCGTTGATGTCGTCGTGTTGTACCGCATACCTTGGTGAGAGCAAGCTCATGCGATATAAATACGAATGCATCGCGTATCTAGACGTGTATCAAGCTGCACTGACAAAGTAGTCCAGTCAAATCACTATAAGTACATGGTCCTGATCAAAGTAATCGCCATATATTTGTTTTCAGTGGTAAAGTGTGAGAAAAGTTGTTCTGATTAACATACTAAAAATAAAAATAAATCCCTTCGGTGGAACATGGTGAAAATCGAGTTTTTCTTACTTCTACCTATAGAAAACCATTGTGGACAGAATGTTGAAATTTTGAAATCATTTTTAGGCAAATGTAACCTATTATTGGAAAGCTTAGAAAAAACTAAAATATAAATCATTAAACGGTTATCTTGCTTTTGCCTATCCAGCCGAAGTTATGCAAGATTTAAAATGCCATAAATTTGTATTTTGTGCAAATTTTGGACTATTTTTCCAACTTTGAGCTAGAGTAACGACAAACTGACCAGTAACTTGAATATAACCGTTTAATGATCTATATTTTAGTTTTTTCTAAGCTTTCCAATAATGTAGGTTACATTTGCCTAAAAATGATTTCAAAATTTCAACACTCTGTCCACAATGGTTTTCTATAGGTAGAAGTAAGAAAAACTCAATTTTCACCATGTTCCACCGAAGGAATTTTTTGGGATTTTTAGTATGTTAATCAGGACACCTTCCCTCACATTTTACCACTGAAAAAAATTCTATTGCAATTTCTTTGACCTCTGGTCACAGATTGACTGGACTAAAGCGTATAGAACGCCGAAACATGCAT